CCCCCCCCATTAAACTTTTAAACCTTCTTCAGCCATAAAGGAACAAGGTCAAGAATCCTTAAAATTAGAATAAAAACCCAGAATGAAACCTTAATGAATACATTCAACATGTTCATATTACTTGTTTACTTTTCTAAAATCTTCATATGACTTGTGTTTGCTGGTTTTGCATGGTAACAAACATCTGCTGAAATTACCGCACCTGATTCCGTTTCATCTGGGTTTGCTGGGCCATTAACTGCATTATTTCTTGGTGCTGCCTTTGAAATTGATCCTGTTTTGTGCTCTTAATTTCAAGGAGCTCTTGCAAGTCCAATTCTTGAGTTTTCAATTTCTGAACCATATCATTTTTCTAACGCAGATATGTTGCTGTGTTCCCACCAATCCTCTCTGTGATTTTTTAGCTTAGGTTTCACACTGTCTATATGGTCTACATGTGATTCTTGAATCATTCGTTGTTGCTTCGGTATTCCACAAACATCCTTAGAATTAACCAAATGTCAAATTTTCGAACGAGTTTGGCCCATAATAAGTTTAAATGGAGTTACTTTTTATAAAGTTTACGTTCTAGATGTAACGGCAAAGTGGCCAACTTCAAATCATAGACACGGCTGCTACGGCGGGAAAAGTTACAGCAGCGGGAAGTACCTCTGGCAGTAATTTCACTTCTACTTACCGTTATTTCACTTCCACTTGCCGTAATTTCACTTCCACTTGCCGTAATTTCACTTCCACTTGCCGTAACAGATATCGACCGTCTTCAGATCTTAAGCTCGTTTTATTGAAAAGACGCATGGCAACGTGGAATCCAGTTTTTGATTATATGATAGCCGAATTAAACACACGGTTTGACCCGGTTTGACTAATTCTTACGTATGGTTTACTTGAGGACAAACGCATGGATGAGGGTAGTAAAAGGTTTACACGTGATGCCTGATTAAGCCCAAAATTGATACGAGACGTGCGAGTTTAATAGAAAGGTAGGATGATAAGATTTGAAGTTTTCCCTTGTAAATTCATGACGTGTGAAAAACTGTTTACAGTACACGTGATGCGTGGATTTTTCTAAAACTCGTGCATGGAACAGGGTCAGGAACCCCTTTCCCTTGCTGCCCTTATACATAACGCGTCACCATTAAACCAATTTGTCTGTGCGGGAGACAGTAGAAGGTCCTTTCTAAGCTTCCAGACCGTAGAGAATATTTCAGACTGTATTCCGCGTGGAATAAGACTCGGTTACAAAGAGAAAGAGTACACAAGTAATTTTGCTGGTTGGCGTACCTTTATAGACTCTCTCTTCGTGATAAAAACAGGGGGTTGAATTTACTGCCGAGGGCGTGTACTTCTTGGTAGGTTTCTTCCTTTGTTCCTCTCTGCGACAGTCTATGGTGAAATGAGATTGAAGAAACATGACATAGAGTAGGGAAAGGACTGTTATACAATATACATACTACTATACATTGTGCAGAGGGGGAGGAAACAAATGCAAACATGAAGTAGGGAAAGGACTGTTATACAATATTATACATACTGCTATACATTATGCAGAGGGGTAAGAAAATAACCCTTTTTTTTTTTTTCTCAAAAAGTACCATCAAAAAGAGCCCTTCCACCTACCGAAAAAAGGGGTTACTGTACAAATAGAAACCACTTAGGGATTAACCTTCACAACGGAGGCTTTTAAAAGACCATCGTTCAAAGCCGCTCCATGCAAACCATCCGGAGGATATCGCAGAAAACAGCCCTATGATTAAGCGATAACACATCTCCTGATTGTAAGTCAAATAAGAGGATGAAGTCCTTGGCTATTCTAGCGGACAATCTGCAGAGACTAGTTTGTATATCCTAAAATGAGTAAAATGGGTGAGATAGCTCGTAAGAAACAGCTGAGAAATGTTTATTGCAAAAAGCAGTAGAATGTCACATGGAAAAGAAAAATCATTGACAGCTTTAAGAATAGAACAGGCTATGAAATGAGTAATAGAAATGTAGTTATGATACACTAAGGTTACTGCCTGTTCAAAAGTTATGTTTTCTTCTTGAATGTCTACCCACAGAAGTACCGCTGACTTAATATTACTAGTAATAGCGAAGAATTTCTCTGAAAAATCTGATTAAAAAGTGAAAATAGCTATTTTGCAAGACAGATATCCTCCCACGAAAGTCGTTGCACAGCATGCACATCTGATAAAACCACTGGTCATAACCTGCGTTCATTGGCGTTCGTTAAGGCCTCGTGACCAGCTTGTAGCGTGACAATCTCGTGACAAGCTTCAATCGCCTAGTTCTTGTACTGCTTATTATAACTTCTTCTAAGAAGGTACAGAATTTCTCATAAGAGTCAGGGATTGCTTGTGTCACAAAGTGTTAACGAAGTGCCTTTGTGGATACTTGGCGGAAATTAATTGTTGTTCATCTCTGGCTTGGGAACCCCTTAACTGGTTTGCAGCGACATCGAGAATATCGACCCCACGACAAGGAAGAACCATTAGGGAAAGTCAGGGCAAATTACGTAACTTCACTCAAGACTTTCAAACTAAGTGACCATGGTGTTATGGCTTGGACTTTTTCTTCCTGTTGTTGGGGTTGTGGCACTATCAATATTTCTTATCTGGGCTGTTTTTGTGATATTATACTTTGCATGTCCCCACGTCTTGAGCCATGTAATTCACAGGTGTGTACAAATTCAAATCGTTTTATGCTCTATATTGATCAGTTATCATTATCATTGAGTTGCTTGTTTGTGCAATAAAATATTGCTTCTTTATATACAGAAATTCGAAGAGAAATCGTGTAACTCTCATGATAGGCCTCAAGTAGGCTGGGTGTGAACGTTTGGTAATGTTTTGAAGCTTCACGGAGGCTTCAGGAGGCGATAGAATCTAATTAATGATTTGACGATTTCTTGTTTCATTTGTTGGCTAAATTAACAAGATCTCATATTCCTTAACTTTTCTTGAATTTCGTCATCGCGTGATTACAGGAAACATTAACACAGACTAACGTTCAGATCTTGGTTTAAGAGTTTAGTCGATTTCGTGATGGCGAGACAAACAAACTGTAAAATGTTCGCATCTGCTGAAAGAAGAATATTTTGATTAAGTGAATGTGACAGATATCTTGTTTGTGTGTGTGTGTGTGTGTGGTAACTAGGTTATGATGATTTTTACTTTGTCCTAGAGTAGTTAGTAGCTTCGTGAAGATTGGATTGCGGAATGTTAGTGCTTATATAAAATGACTCTTATTTGCAAAATAGCAGAGTTAGCAAGGTCATGAAGTTCTTTTAAGACTTCATTAGATTGGTTCAGTTATTTAAGATCAGTTTGTCCTCGCAAAGGCAGAAATGGTTGTTATAACTTCCTGTTGGGGTTGGATCTTCTTGATTATGACATTTTTCAGTGTACTTATCATAAAAAAAATAGTACAATCAGTCTCCAGAAGATGAGTTTATTTTCTTGAGTCTCAGTTGGGGAAATGATCCTCATAGAACTGTAGTTAAAGACATTTCAGAGAAAGAACAGGCTTCCTTTTCTGTAGTTTAATCAATTGAAGTTCTCCAGTTAAGATTATTTCATGATTTGCAGTCATCCTTAAGTCAAAACACTGATTTCATTTATTTGTGTTCTTTTGTCACCTTAACCTTTTCACCCCTCTAGACCCCTTGCCCATTTTATCTTCTCTCCCCATTCAACCATTGATTGATCTTATTTTCCAGATTTACAATCTTTAGGGCAGGGTTTACCTTGAAGTATGTGTCAGTGGGAGACTTTACATTTAGCTACATTGAGAGAGGGAAAAGTGAAAAGGCAGAAAATGTCATTCTGATGATTCACGGTTTTACGGGAGACAAAGGTATTTGGTGTCTTATGGGAAAAGCCATGCCTAAGACATTTCATTTAGTAGCTGTAGATCTTCCAGGACATGGGTACACTACCCGAAAACACCACGATGATCATTCTATACCTGCTCAAGTTGCCAAGCTTCATCAGGTAAATATGAAATAACTCTTTCCAACAAGCAAGTGATGTTTATGCAAGGCAACTCAAATTTCTTGATCAGACTTTTTGCTTTTCTATTGGTGCCAATTTTTTGGGCAAACATGAGCTCTCATGTTTTTGTTACTGAAACAATTTTTTTAGTTCAAATTTACATATTTTTAGTTTCTATATAATTGTAATTAATTGTGTGCAACTGTTAAGGAGCACAGAATAAAGTTATTTGAATTATTCAACGTCATAAAACTAACAAAAATGTACCCCTTTGTGTTAGACCTTTGTCACAGGGATTGCAAAATAACAGGACCAGCAAAGTCATGAAGTTCTTTTAAACCTTAATTAGATTGGTTCAGTTATTTAAGATTAGTTTGTCCTAGCATAGGCTAAAATTGTTGTTATAACTTCCTGTCAAAGTTGATTCTATTCACACTGATGAAAGGCTAGCATCAGCTTTTAAATTCTTTAATTAGGGTGGTCAATTTACATTATCAACTTATTAGTTGATAAAGCCAAATACTCCCCCACCCATGCCACACCACAGTTTCTTTAGAAACATACCACTTTACTTATTCATAAGTATCTGAGTACTACACATAGACACTGGTACTTGTGCAATGAATTTTATAAAAAGTTGCCAACTTACTGGTGGATTATGTTTCTTTTCAGTTTGTGTTAGCTGTTGGACTGGATAAGAAAAAGTTTCATTTAGTTGGTTTATCCATGGGTGGCTTTGTGGCTGGTGTGTTTGCATCACAGTACTCATCTGTGCTATCATCCTTGGTTCTTATGTGTCCTGCCGGTATAGATGCACCAAAAATGAGTGATTTTATCAATAACATTGCCAATGGTGGAAAGAACTATTTACTGCCAGAAAATCCTCATGATTTTCAGTATATGATGAAGAAAGTGTCCTATCGGAAAGTTTTCATTCCTTCCTTCATTGCCAAAATCGTGTGTGCAGCCAGGAGCCAATCACATTCTTTCTATGATAAAGGTAAATTGAAGTAAATATTAACTATTTTGAAAATTTTAAAAAGAGATCCAGTTTTATTTTTTTAGCTTCCCTTTAACCCTTTCCACCCTAACATCAGTATGCATTTTCTCCAAACTGTTCTACTTACATTTCCTAAAGTGCTGACAAGGAGAGCTTCTCTAGTCAGTGATCACTTCCCTTATTCTCATCACCCTAATGTGTGATTTACTGGTAATACAAAAAGTTAAGTAGAAGTTGGATGCTTGTAACTCCAAGGGGCTACAGGGTTACTTGCTGGATATGTGCTAAGAGATCCGCTTTTTCTTAAAATTGGAGCACTCTGAATACCATGCTTTTTCGAAGGGGGCATTGGGGCCTCTGGGAAACCGCAAAACTGGAGGAAAAAACCTCCAAAACTGGAAAACCGACGAAAAAAGGTAACAAAACCAAAAACCGCACGCAAACCTGACAAAACCACTACATTTTCACCTTTAAAGGGGTCGAAAAGAAAAAAACCGAAAACAGCATCAGAGTTTTCATGAAAGCGGAAAACCCAATGCAAAAACACGTAAAATCCGCAAACCGCTCTGAACATCAAAACCGAAAAACTGAACCTTTTTGGCCCAAAAACTGAAAAACCGATCCAAAAAATAGTCAAAACCGAAAATCCCAAAGCCCCCCTCATTTTCTGTTGCCATGTGCATGCTGCAGTGACAATGTTATTCCTTTCATTGTATCACTGATATTTTCAACGCAAGTAAAATAATTAACAAATAGATTCCATGTTCCTGTGTGTCTGTTCAGTAATAGATCACAAATGACATAAAAGTGTAATAAGAACAAAAAAGTGGCAATAAGGTGCTGTGGAGTGTGACACTGATACTCTTGGCACAATTTGAGGTCTTCTGTGATCCATTACTATCGGCCCCACATAAGCATGAAATATATTTGTTTTATCTGATAGAAAGCAAACTTTTGTTAATGGTGATGCCTTCTATGTGTCTGCCCACAAAGAGGTGATAAACAAGAACCAATCAAAATGCGAGTAATTCAGCTCATATAACTGATATTAGAAACTGGTGTCAAGTGCAATTAGTAAATTAAGGTTATTGTTGTTATTCACAATTTTATATGTTTTTAAAAGGAACCTCATTTTTTTTATATTGTCTTATTTCTCTCTGCTAAAGTTTAGAAAACCACAACATTTACCTAACGTGCATATAAGATAACACTGAACTTATTGAGCATAATTTTTGTCCCTTTTTTTTTTGTTTTGTTTTGCAGTTTTGACTGAAATAACTCGGCCTGACCAGAGATTTCTCCTACAGGATGTTTTGGAGAACATTGATGTTCCGACCCTCACACTGTGGGGCAGTAATGATCTGGTCAGTTACAAATAATTAACACGTACAACTCAGTCACTAAATAAATCAATTCAATTCAGCCACCAAATGACTGTTGGAGGACATTTCAAAAGCGATTTGTGGCCAATATTGCAAATGAGTTAGAACATGTACAAACCTACAGTATAATGACCTTTTTGCAATTTGTTATTTTCACATCAGTGTTACACTGTAAATTTTGTGAGTGACCGTATTCTTGTGAGGCTGGAAAAGGTTTAAACCAAACATCATGCCAAGTTGAATCACATGCGGATCTCTTGTTAAGTTTAGAAAGGTTAATAAGTGAGATCAAGGGTGGGGACATTTTTGAGAAAGAAAAACAATAACGACACTCGTCATGCCGTAAGAGAACTGCAATGGAGAATACCTTTCTAAATTACCCCCCCTGTCCTGTGATTTACCAATGAAGATCGTCTGTGTTTACCAGGAACTTTCCCTTCAGTTCACTACGTGCAGCTTACATTCATTGACATGGAGCTTAAGAAGTGGTTGCTCTACCGTCACCGTTGCTAACTAACGAGTAGCAGCTGCGTCACTAGTGATCAACTTTACAAATGGCAGTCGGTGTTTCTTCTTGAAAAACCATTGACATCTGTCCAATGAGAGTATCAAGGGAATTTTCTTCGTGTCTTTTTTTCAGTTTCTACAATAAACCGATTTTTAAGTTCTACCTTTAGCACGAATGGATTAAAGCGATCAAAGTACATATTCCCGAAGGTAGTTTTGATACGGTATGTCGTGATGTAACTCCTCTTTCTTGGCCTGTAGTCCCTTAGACCAAAGTCCTCGACTAATGAGCGCGACTTTTCTCCCAATTTATCGCAGAGAAGCATTTCACCTCTACTAACTTATTTGACATCAAACTAAGTTTTGGAAATATTTATTAGATGGAAGTGTCATTCTGTGGTTTTATATTTCCATTAATTTTTATTTCCCGCTTTCAACACTGTTGTTTCTTTCATAACAACACGAAACTCGCCCCCAGCTAACGCCGGGAAACTTAAAGCGGAAAAGAGCAGGTTTTTTACGGGGCGTGGAGCGTAACCATCTCCTGACCCCGCACTAAGATGGGCTCAAAGCTTAGTCAGTCCTACCACTCATAAATCAGATGTTAACCTTCATGCAATCGCCTATCTCTTCCTTTTGCTCGCACTTCGGGCCTCTCACTTCTATTACCTAGAGTTCTGATTGACTGTTTTGAATAATTTTGTTTTGTTGGTATGAAATTAATTCAGAAACATGAGCTCCAATAAATTTGTGATCCAAGGGTGTAATAATTCATTGCATATTCTTAGATTCTTTGTAGTGAAGTTTTGGCTGAGGATAAGAATAAATATTTTATTCTTCAGATCCTTGATCCGTCTGCAGTGGATATCATCAGAGAAAAAGTAAAGAACTGTCAGGTTAAGATACTGAGCAGTTGTGGTCATGCCATTTCTTTTGAAAGACCGTGGAAATCAGCAAAACTGATTTTGCAGTTTCTAAATTCACTTCCCAAAACTTAATGGCATAACAATAGAAGGACTCTTATGCGAAACCTACTAAATAGCTCGTCGAACCCGCTACTGATTGTCAGTATTTGATTGGATAAAGACTTTTGGGGCCAAAATTGAAAAGTTAATCTTGGAAGCGCCAATTACGCCAATCAGCTAGGGTATCCATCCCCGCCAAAATGTTTGAAGTTGAATGTTTGAAGTGACGAATTGAATCTTTGAACTGACGAATTGAATCTTTGAAGTGACGAATTGAATGTTTGAAGCGACGAATTGAATGTTTGAAATGACGAATTGAATGTTTGAAGTGACGAATTGAATGTTTGAAGTGACGAATTGAATGTTTGAACAACAAGTTTGAATTTTGGCGGGGATGGGTACCCATAATCAGCGTCATCTGCTATTTTAGGCAATGTCAAGGGGGGTCATCTCATATTTGAACAATTGGTAGAAAAGATTAGAGGTTTGGGATAGATAGATAGTGTTTGAGTAAAGAGAAATGGGACATTCTTAAAAGGAGATAGTAAGCTGACGAATTTTCCAAATGTCATAACATATCAGATTATTGCGTAGTTCTGTATCAAGAGAGTTTCCAGTGGTTTATCTCAATTCTAATTTTGTAGCAAGTATTTTAAGTAATGAACAAACTTATGTAAGATGTTACAAATTTAGTATTTTACTTTAGGGATTGTAAATTATTACGTAAGTCAGCCCCATGGTTGCCAGGTAATTTAGACCAAGAAGAATGTAATATTTATCAGACGAAGTTAATGAGGCTCGCTACTCAAAAGTAAAACATCATGATAAAATCATAATTCAGTAAACTGAGCTATCTCAGATTGGTACTCATCTTTAGCTTCCCCCCCCCCTCCCCCATGACAAGCAGGAGTTCAAGATTTTTTCTTCTTTACTGATGGTGATATGGTGTTCTACCATGCTGTGATATTTAGTGTAGTATTACACGACAGGGCAGTCAGAGGGCCAATAACTAAAATCAACCAATCAAAATGCTCTATTGCCGGTCAATATTCTCTAAGTATTGGACCGGGCACTGTCCCGAATGGTCCCGAATGATACCGCACTTGTGTCCCTTTGAACTTCAGTCGTGTAGTAAATCTCTTATTAACCAAGCTTGCTCGGGATCGTACTGGAAGAATATCGGCCCTCGGTCTTTTTTGTACGGACCTCGCTGCGCTCGGTCCGTACTGTCAAGACCTCGGGCC